TGTTTGCGCTGAATGTCCTCCCTCAGACTCCTGTTAGTATTATTAACACGCTGTAGGAGATTTAATGCGCACAGTCTTGTGAGTGTTGGAAAACAAAGCACACTCCTCTGCTCCTGACCTGATGCCCTGCCTTGTTTTTGCACTCTTCAGCATTGAGCTGCTGAAATCAATTTTAACTGGAAACAGCTTTCACCACCAGAGATGATCTTCGACATGAAGGTGTCATGGTCCTGGGTCTATTTTTGGGTTTTTGGACTTTCCAGTTTCGTTTATATCAGTATTACGAGATTCCAGGTGTGCTTAGTGTTTGTGTGACTTCTTGTATTTGTTCCTATTATTGAATTTAGTCTTGTTCTTGGTTCCTAGTTGTCCTAGTTTTATTCCTCCCTCTGTGTTCCCCTCTTGTGTCAAATCCCTTGCATTAAGTTCATTCAAGTGTCTGTGTCTTTACTTCCTGTTTTACTTTGGGTGTTTGTATTCTTTGTGCTTTGCTTTTAGTTTTGCTTCCTGCGTCTTGTTTCCCGTGATTTAGTTCACCTGTGTCTCGTTCGCCCCAGCTCTTCCACTCCCATAATCCCTCTTCTGTGTAAATAAAGTTCCCATCTTCCCCTTTGTCTTTGTCAGAGTATCACTTCACTTTCTTCTCATGTATTCCAGCTCCTGGACACTAGATTTACTTCTCACTTGAGGTTTGCATTTTGTATTTTCACCACCACTTTAATAAACAGCTTGATTTTAGTTAAACACACTCTGCCTCTTCGTGTCTGCAAGAGAAGTTTGCATTCATGTTTTGTGGACATTTAGGAACTGAGGTGAAATTTAAGATGTAGAAATAGTTAACTTGCAAGCACGTGCTTATTTCTACATAAAGCAGACTTGGTAAAACATTAGTGTTTATTTTCTGACTCATTAAAGGTTTGGGGTGTGCGATTCTTCAACAGAATGTAAGGAATTAACTGTGATGAAGTTATGCCAGAGATGTCAGATATGTTTTGTGCTGCAGAGCTATCTACTGAATTAGTTTTCAGTTTCAGTTTTCAGTTTTCAGTTTTATTTGTCATATGCAAGTTAGCACAGGGTCAACATTGCAATGAAATGTGTTTGACGAGCAGCAGTCACTCAGCAGCATGATACAGTAGAAGAAAATATAATAAAATATAATAAAATAAAATATAAAAATAGTAAGGAGCTAAATATTAGAGAGACATGGTAAAAGAGAAAAGATGACTAAATATATATGTAT